CAAGTGAAGCATTTGCTGCCATCCTGGACAACGGCTCTGTTGTGACTTGGGATGACCATGGGTATGGTGGCAACAGCAGCCAAGTGCGAGAGCAGCTTGCGGGCGTCCAACCTGGACAACGGCTCTGTGGTGACTTGGGGCTATTCTGACTCAGTTGGTGGGCGTCCAGCAAATTCAATCAACTGAAAAGGCGTTTGCTGCCATCCTTGACCACATCTCTGTGGTGACTTGGGGAAATCTTGAGTCGGGCGGTGACAGCAGTCAGGTGCGAGAGCAGTTGGTGGGCGTCCAGCAAATTCAATCAGCAGAAAAGGCGTTTGCTGCCATCCTTGACCACATCTCTGTGGTGACTTGGGGAAATTCTGACTCGGGCGGTGACAGCAGTCAGGTGGGAGAGCAGTTGGTGGGCGTCCAGCAAATTCAATCAAGAGAAAAGGCGTTTGCTGCCATCCTTGACCACGGCTCTGTGGTGACTTGGGGAAATTTTGACTCGGGCGGTAACAGCAGTCAGGTGCGAGAGCAGTTTGTGGGCGTCCAGCATATTCAACCAGCGGAAAAGGCGTTTGCTGCCATCTGGGACGACGGGTCTGTGGTGACTCGGGGCCATTCTGACTTTGGCGGTGACAGCAGCCAGGTGCGAGAGCAGTTGGCGGGTGTCCAGCATATTCAATCAACAAGGAACGGTGCTTTTGCCGCCATTCTGGACGACGGCTCTTTGCTGACTTGGGGAAATTTTGACTCGGGCGGTGACAGCAGTCAGGTGCGACCTGAAGGTGTCCGTGAGGGGGCCTTCATGCAAGTTGCAAACTAGAGCCCTTCTGGTCGCCCGCAAACATTAAGGTGGCACAATCTCCCAATTCCCTAAGCATTGATCTGAATAATTGCAGGGCAAATGCTTATACGCAATTCACACACCTTTTGTCACTAAGCCAACCGGAAAAAATTAGTATTGAAGGCAGGGGACCGCTCGCTAAAACCCCGGAGATTGGTCTAACTTGCCCATATCTAGGGCATGTGAGTGCTTCTCAACACCGGTGGACGCCGTTTTGGCTGGAGTGGTTTCCTTTTCCTTTAAAACGACCCCCAAAAAGGGCCGCCCATCTTCTTTCGGAGTGTACCTTGCGCTGGGCATCCCTGCTTGCCGACGCCTCCCGGCACCATCTCAGTAAAGACCTCGCAAAGCCCGCTGATTTGTGTTGCCCCCCCATGGATTTGGAGATGGAATGCAATCGTTACATACCTTTTGGATACATAGGAAAGAAAGAAAGCAAGAAAGGACAGACAAAACAAAATGAAAAGAAGAAACAAAAAGAACAAAAGCTTGACAGAATTGGCACATAAACAAAAGAAAGGACAGCAAGAAGAAACAAATACAGAATAAACAAAGAAGACAATGACTAGTTTTGAAACTTCCGCCCACCGGCTTCGCCAGCTCTATTTGTGTTTGGAGCCTAAAGTGTAGCATAGTTTGGAGGAGATCGCAGGCCCCCCAGGAAAGGTTGCGCAGGAACCTTGTTGAAGGGTCAAAGGCTCTGAGAACCTTGGGGGGTAGGCGGGGGTAGGACCACAATGTCTCTCCTTAGTCATGCAATTCGGTCAAGTGTCGTTTAAATGACAACTTGCTGAGGAAACCTCAAACCCCCTCCAAAAAGGGCAGCCTTGCTTTGGTAGTTCATTTTCAAGGATAGCCTCTTCCCAAATCCCGAGTTTTCATACTGCCCACATCGCGCGGTCGCGACCTCTTGAGATTGAGACGCATGACACCAACACTTCAAACCGTGACGACAATTTCTTAGGCGTCACAAAGATGGCCACTGTTCTATCATGTCACAAGCAGCGTCAGCTCCAATTGATCACACTTGGAGATATTCATTGCCGAGCATGAAACTTTAGAGTTGATTTTAGAGACATCTCCAAAACACAACGAGCACCCCGCACTATGAGATGGTTTTCCTCACAGGTACACACAAAGTGTGTGCTGGAATATCACCTTTCCAGTGATTCCATTTAAATATACATAGGCAACCAAGGGAACCTTTTGACAAACAAGAGGGCAATGACCGGGCAATGGCTGCTTGTCGACTTATGAAAAAACAAGATCCATCGGCACTGGAATTTGGTGAGGACCAGGGCTTTGTCTTGGACTGAGCGGAGCTTTGTCCCAATTTGTTATATAAAAGAGTTGCCAAGAACATCCCCGCGTTGTGTAGTGTAGCAATCCCAATGATTCGGGATTTTAGCATATGTTTCAAGGTTGCTCCCAATCCACCTCACAGTGTAGAAAGTTGGGCCCTGGAAAAGGAAACACGGACCACTCCCACGCAGCCAAATTGTTGAATTCGTTGGAACTCACATGTACCGCGCTTGGGCGTTTCTCAAAATTGGTTGGGGACTCAGGTTGATTGTCTTTTGGTTCCCCGCAAACCGTCCAAAAAAGGTCCTCTATTTTGAGACAAACCCATTTGTGTACTGTGGTTCGGTCATGCTCGGAGCAACCCACGGCGAACGGCGAACGGAGCTCCTGCTGGAAATGCCCATTGACCCGTCTCAGCGTCTGAAGAACCTCGCTGGGATCACAAAGGGTTCCCCAAAAAGGCATCTATTGGGCAAGGAAACGTGACTCGCACACCCGCACGGTTGCAGCAGATCCCTTTGAAAGAGACTCCTCGATCCAGCGCGTCTGTGATCAGTGACTCTCCCTGTTCACCCTGTTTTCACCCAACCCACGTTGCCATCGAACGAAAGGGGGTCCCTGGTGTGAACCATGTTGCTGGATTCAATTGGACAAGTTGAGGGCATTAGGCACTGGAGGCAGCACGGCCAAAGGTGAAGCCCGGAGGTGTTTCAAGGTGCTGGCCACTCGAATCCCATAGTTTGATGAGCGTGCGACTTAAAATCAATTGCGACAGCATGAGGGGTTTTTGATCATGGCATGTGTTGACAACACATGCGAACCGAATGCCAGACCCAAATCATTTCTCTTGTGGCCAAAAAATGTCAAGTAGGGGGCATGCATCACTGGACAAAAACATTAACGTTCATCTGACAAGTCCAGGCGCGAAGCTTTTCGATTTGACTCCCTTCCTGAAAAGGTAGGTTGGTTTCAGAGGCGCTGCGCGGGGGCGCCTCTGTCCAGTATATTTGTTTCACTCGTTTGGCCCAACATGAGCTGGCCCCAAGCGAATGTACCTCAAATCTGCCCGGCTCGTGAACTGAATTCAAGGTTGGTTCGAAAAAAAACCTCAAATTCAACTGAAGACCTAAATCTTGACATTATCATGGCCGTTGGGTTTGGGCACTTGGGCTTGACTGCCAAGGAAAGCTCCCAAATGGTGTGTGACGCGCTAGGATTCCAAAGATACGGGCTGGGTATTTTGTCCAGGCCGAGGGGTTGCAACCCAATGAATCAAACAAATTTGAGGAGCCATTTCAAGAGCTCCTTGGTTCCTTGTTTCAGGGGCGCGAAGGGCTTGAACCTGCAAGGAGACCATTTTTTGAGTGACAGTAAAAATCCATGTAGGGGGTTCCAAACACCAAGGCCCAGACCCACACACACACATACACACACACACAAACACAAACACGAAAACAAACACACCCACACAAACACACACGCGCACAACTACTCACACACGCAAACACAAGCACAAGCACAAGCACAAGCACAAACACAAACACAAACACCAACACACACCCACACAGCCACACAGCCACACACTTAAATCCCACAAGGGGTTGGACACAAAGTTCGAGTAAATCGAGCAAGAAGGAGAGGGGCAGATTCGAGACAGGCTTCCGTGTGTTCTGAAGCAAAAGCGGAAACGCCACACAACCAGAGCCAATGGTCATGCAAAAGCAACAAAGTCCAACATCACGAGAAGTTGTGGCTCAAATTGAAAGCAGGTACGTCGAGGTGATCAGCCTCGATATCACAGGACAAGTGCGGCGTCTTCGTTGGATGCCGACCGCACAGGTCCCCGGCATGCCCCTGCATTTGGTCTCAGGGTATTCTGAGACTCCGCACACACACGCCCTCAAAGAGGGGCGAGTAGCTCAGTTTTTACGGGAGGGGCAACCCTAAGAAACACGCGCCCAAAGCCCCAACCTGCTGAATAAAATCAGCTCTGAGTGCGCTGCCGCTTCCTCCTTCTGCTCGTCGATTTGCTGGATGGCCTTTGCTTGGTACGGCAATGATCGACTCCCTTGACTGGAAATCAGGGTCCTCCGGATTTGTCAGAAGCCCAAGCTTTGTCTGTCTCTAAGGCCGGTTGGGAAAGACAAATCAATATGCGGTTTCAGACAGTGACAGGTTAGAGAGGTAGTTGATTCACGGAACTCGACGGACCCCGAAGACTGTCAACTCTCCTTCCAATCCCCAATATGGCGCTCCTTGAAAGCATTTGCTCAGCCAATCACGTGTCAGTGACATCACCCCCCCCTCTCAAACAAGAACACAACAAAACAGGTCTTTCCACAAAATTTGGAAGGTGCAAATAGGGGCCCGTTTTGGGCCCGTTTCGATGACCGGACCCAAACAGAACCACCATTGTGAACCCTCAAGTACATTATACAAGCCATGGTCAAAGACCTAGCATATGCTGCTACGAGTACGGCTAAGTTCTAATCTAGTGAGCCGGATCCAACTGATTTATGTTCAAATCCAATCAAAATAGGAAACTTCTTTGCAGCTCACCCCCTAAAGGAGATCACTGAATCAAATCAACACAAAACAGGTTTTGTCTACTTTGGTCTTCCTCAACAGGCACTGAAACAAGCAGCGCTCCCACCACCTCTTGACTTTTGTTTTGCTAGCATAGCTAGCCAAACCAGGAACCAAAGCGCCCAACAAAGCGGCCATCTCCAGTTTTGGGATTCCTGAAATTCCAGAGCGCCAAGAGTGCTTCCTTTCTGGATATCAAGCTCCCCCCCGGGCTCCCGCTGGTTCCGGGATAGAAAAAAAGCCCCCCCTCCAATCCGGGGTGTCAAAATAGCGCCCCCTCTCCTTAACCCAAAAACACGGAGTGTCGATTTCCTTACTTTTCGTTTCGCTGTGCTCCGGCCCGCCTGAAGAAAACTATTGTGGGAACCATGGGCCAAAAAGCCGCCCCGCCTCTGCAATGGCCGACTCCCCGGTGTCGATCTCCTCAGGTTGGCTTCATGTCTGGGAGCCACGGATTAAACCCACGGGTGCCCCAACGACCATGGAGGCACAAAAACGCTACCCTTTAGCGGTAGATGTTGAAAGGAAGTGGGTTTCCATTCCAAACAGCAGCTCCCTTTTTCTGACAGTCGATTCCGAAAGAGAGTCTCTCTTCGACAAACCCAATGCAAAGTGTGATGCCAAGCGTGCAATTGCAAGGTTGCAAATCAAACAGCCGGCGCAGTTGCAAACTTTGCAATGTCGTGTCTTGATGGCTGCAGCGCTCGTCTTGGCCCACTGCCGATTCCTTTCAAAGGGCAAGCCGCCTCCAGCAAAAGGCACCCGCTTCTCTCCTCCTTGCGACGGCGGAGGTCCACCAATTGCTCGGAGAAGTTCTCGTACCTCAGATTGAGCGAGCCGATCTGCAGGATAGATGCAACCAACATCACGTTAAATATTTCGGCGCATCCATATCTATATATATATATATATGTGCTCCCCCCCCCCCAAGATCCCCCTTTGGGCTGTTTTGAGTATATTTTGGTGTTCAAAATCCTTTTTGGGCGTGAATGCATATATATATATATACATATAATTCATTTTGAGAGCAGGACGCTGTGAGCGTGCGCTCTTTTCGCTTTTTGAGTGGAAACTCGAGTTGAACCATGTTTGCATAAGGTGTGTTTAAATGTCAGCTGAATCGTAAAGAAATTTGATTGGAAAGAACATACTGTGTAAATTATCAATTAAACTAAAAATATTCTAATTCAAATTCTATTATGAAACAGAAGTTGTGATTGGATTAATTCCTTATCAAATGTTGTTTAACCTCTAATTTAAAATTGTAATGTTCTATTGGGCAAGGATTTACATCTAAATTCTAAATGTAAGATGTAACTTCCAGCAAAATTATGATCAAGTATTTCCTTTTTGAGTCCTATTGAAATCCTATTCAAATTCAAACTGAATTTTAGAGAGCGGCCGTTGGAGATGTGAATTGAGTACGAAAAACGCAACAACACACTGTGTTTTACTGTGTTTTCTGATCATGATAGTTCTAGGGCTAGTTCACACAAAAAACACAATTTCTGACCTCTGAATTCTCTCCTTCTAAAATCTACTTAATACCTTTGCCAAATTCTACCCAATGTCTGACTGAAATTAACTAGAAATTATTAAGGAAAGACTCCAATCAAATTGTATATGTTAAAATATATTTTAAATTATGATTAATCTAGTTTAACGTAAATGTTACACGGGAATTCCGTTTCCAATAGAATTGTCCTTACACGTTGCATGGCAAAATCCCTGAGACCTACAAATGAGTGGATTTTTAGGTTTTTTAGGGACAGTACATCACTTCTGGCTCTCCAAAGCAAACAAATAGGGACAGTACAGCACTTTGAGCACCCTGATCTCCAAAGTGCTGTACTGTCCCTATTTTTTGCTTTCCCTAAAAAACCTATAAAGAAAACACGTTTTTTCAGAGTCTTGCATGGCCAAAAGCCTGGGACCTCCAAATAATTGGCTTTAGGTTTTTAGGGACAGTACAGCGCTTTGGGCTCTTCAATGCAAAAAATAGGGACAGTTCAAAAGTGCTGTACTATTTTTGTGATTTGGAAACACAAAAAGTAGGGACAGTACAGCACTCTGAGCACCCTGATCTCCAAAGCGCTGTGCTGTCCCTATTTTTTTGATTTAGAAACACAAAAAATAGGGACAGTACAGCACTCTGATCTCCAAAGTGCTGTACTGTCCTTATTTTTTTGCTTTGGAAGCATGGCAAATAGGGACAGTACAGCACTTTGAGCACCATGACCTTCCCAAACTGAAAAAATGCAATACAAGTGCGTTTTTTTTTTTTTTCTTTTGTTTTAACATGTTCAACACACTTCAATCACAAATCATCTGCAAACTTCTGCTTGCCTATCCTTCTTGGGGCTCAAAATTGCTGCAAATACTATATGAAAATGCCTACTGCACCAAAACATCTGCCAGCATCACATCTTGCCCAGGATCAACCCATCTGACAAAAACAATGTCAAATCTAAACAAAATCCGTTTTGCTTTTCATCTGCTCCAAACAGTTGAAAACTGCTCAAAACACTGTAAATTACGGTGGTTTGGCAGTGTTTTAGCTGTGTCCAAAGCTGGGGGTGGATCTTGGGAAGGACGACCATATATATATATATATGCGTATATATAACAACTAAATATTTTTCGCCCGCAGGCCCCACTTTTTCTCATCATGACCCTGCTGCTGCCACCCACATGCTTGCATGGTGGCCCCCGACTCTCGACAAGCACTCCAAACACCACTGTTTTGTTACCTGTATTCATATGTATATCTATATATACATATATCCGTATACTAAACACACATGTCAAACACAGACACATTACTCATCTAAGCACTCTGCTTAACAAACTAGACGATGGGTGGCCTGGAAGCATAGAAACAAATCAATTGCGACCAGGGAGTTCTCTCGCAACTGTGTAGATGCAGTTTCCGATCTTCCGAAAGGCTTCGTTTCGAAGCTGGGCTCCAAAAAATGACGCTGCAAATGTGCAAGCGGAGAGCTGGTAGTTTCGTTTTGTAGCCGGCAGCGCAGTCTTGGAAGCCCCAATGGCAGGCTGCAGCTAGCTTTGGTATTTTTCAGAAGGCTCAAAATGCGGGAACCATGATTACTCAACAAGCAGCATCAAACGAAGCTTCTTGGAAGCCTCAAAACTTGCTGGCCTGCTTTGGTAGCTTTGGGTCAAGGAGCCTTTTGTTGCCTTTTCAGGCAAGTTTGTTTTTCTTCAGGCAACACTTTCGGCACGGAGGTTCTGCCAAACTTACGTTGTTTGTCGCGCGCAGACACACAGACAGGCACGCAGGCAGTCAGGCCTGCAGATAGACTCAGATAGACACCAGGCAGGCAAGCTGGCAGCCAAACAAGCAAACGATGGATGAAATACTGAGACAAAGAAAGGACGAAGGATTGGAAGAAAGAAGGATGGAAAGAAAGAAGCAATGATAACATAATGAAAGAAACAGTTAAAGCAAAGAAAACAAGGAGGATTGAAGCAAGTAAGTAAGGAAGGAAGGAAGGAAGCCCGCCAAACAAGAAAAGCACACACAAAAAATCCAACAAACAAACATACACACAAACAAACACACAAAGAAAAGAAAGAAGAAACGAAACAACACAACAAACGACACAACACAAAATTTTCACAAAACATAAAGGAGCCAAGCCAAACAAACAAAAACACATGAACAAACAAACGAGCAAGCAAGCAAGCAAGCAAGAAAGCACGCAGGCAAGCAAACAAATAACCAAATGAACAAACAAACAAAGAACGTGACACACTCCGCTCATGTGGTCGAAATTGGCCACCACGCGCTCCCCTTTTCCCCATCAGGCACAAAATGCTCAGTGCTGACCAAGTGCGCTTGAACGGGTGTGCTTACCAATTGGCTGGCGTGTGTGCAGTGCTGAGCGGGTGCGCTTGAACGGGCGCGCTTCCCATTTGGCTGGCGTGCGTGCAGTGCTGAGCGGGTGCGCTTGAACGGGTGCGCTCGCCATGTGGCTGGCATGTGCGCAGTGCTGAGCGTGCTGAGCGAGTGCACTTGAACGGGTGTGCTTAGAATGTGGCTGGCATCTGTGCAGTGCTCGGCAGTGCACCTGAGCGGGTGCCCTGACAACCCTAAACCCTGCCGCAGCGCCAACACATGGAAACTTGCAAATTCACGCATACAAGTATATGTTCGAAGATGCTAACACAAAACAAAATACACACACACACACGAGCAAGCAAGCAAACAACAAACAAAACAAACGAATAACCAACAACAAACAAACAGAGCAAACGAACAAACAAACAAACAAACAAACGACCAAGCAAACAAACCGACCAAATAACAAACAAAGCAACAACCAAACCAACAAACACGCGAACAAGCAACCAGCCAAAACACACAAACACCCAAGCACAGAAAAGAAAAGAACAAGCGAGCAAGCAAGCAAGCAAGCAAGCAAACAAACAGTCAAACAATCAAACAAACAAACAAACAAACAAATAAACAAGCAAAGCAGAGCCGCACAGAACAGCACAACGCAACACAAAACAAAACACACACACACAAACAAACACAAACAAGCAAACAAACAATGCAAAACAAGGCACGCGGCGCCACCGAGATCAGGTTTTTCTTGGGGGGGGTTTTGGTTTCGGGGGGGGGCAATGTTTCCGTCGTTCTTGAGGAGCTCATCGCATGACACCACGGCAGCTGCTCTGGCTCCCATGGAGGTGCGCCTTTTGCACGGCCAATGGCACGGCCGCTTTGAGCCATGGGCCTCAGATGGCGCGGCCTGCTTTCTTCAACTACTCATGCAAGCTCCTCTGGATGAGTGGATTGGCATGACATCAGATCTCATTGATGAGTACATTGGCTCATGGGTGTCTAGAAACGTGGTTCAGATCAGTGCAGACGGCCAATGCGCCAGCGCCAAATGACAGCGGGATATCAAGTCAGCCTAGCCCACCTGATTACGCACATTGATACAACGTTACAACAAGTCACAAATATGGTGCAAGCATTCCAGCATTCTTCCCCTTCTACAAACATGTTGGGGACACGTCGAACCTGATCTGTTCTGCACAAGGCGTTAGGGGAAATTTGGTTTTGTCACAAAAAGTTGAAATTGCCAAGGTAAGCCCACCTTTCATTTGGGATCGGGAACCGAGCATTGTTCATGTCATGCCACTGCCAGAGCTACGAATGTCTAGGTAAAACAACCATCAAAATGTTAGCCCTGAACGGGTCTGAAACTGGCCTGAAACAAGGTGCGACTCAGAACGCACCTCCAGCCCCCCGCCCGGCTGCTCATCCTTGCAGAAAACCCATCAGTTCAAACGCCATGAAAACGGTCTGATCACAGCATCGCGTCTGCTCTACAAGCCATTCTATTGCTCTTTACGGCGATTGGTGTGGCAGTAGCCTCCCTACCAGCCCGAACAGAGTGTTGGTGGGGGAGGTTGGAAATGGAATGCGAGCTCTGTTTCAAGCCTGTTTCAGGCCGTTTCAGACCCCTAATCAACAAAAACAAGGATGGGATACGCCATTTGGGCAGTTTTTCCTCAAGCGACAACAACCTTTTCCGGTTACCTTTGCTGCACACATCCCCAAATCGGCACCTGCAGCAGATCTGAAGCGATGGATTAATGGATGGGTCGGCTTCCACAGATTAAAAACTGCCGTCTGACCAAAAAAGTCCTGATTGAAGCGGATTGCGGGGAGCCGTGTTTCAGACCTGGTTTTTAACCGCCTGCATTACAACAGTCCATGCTACGTGTGGTTCACATACTTGCTCTTTATGGCACTTGATAGGCTGCCCTCGTCTGACCTCAGCCTGCCGTGCCGGGCCTTCGTGGCCAAGTTGGCGATATAAGATGGCGGGCGCTGCTGCTGCTGCGGCTTGTGCTGCATGTTGCTCTTGCAAGGTAGGCATTATGGGAAGGGCCAAAACTGAACACGACCGCCCACCCTCCTGACTAGCGCATTGCTTCCCTATACGCTTACCTACAGCAAAGAATGCGAATAACCTTGTGCAATCAAGAACCGCAAGACTTCAGGAACCGGAGCCGGCGAACCGAACCGAAGAAAAAACCGAACCGAGCAGCCTAAGGGTTAGGTTCTTGCCCTGTGCGAAGCAGAAGACTCCGCAAGTGAATCTCTTGAGTTCGGAAAAGCCAGCTGACAGCCCGCATCACCGTGCCGCAAAACGCAGACGAAAGGGACTGGCGAACGACTTTCAGGATGCGCATGGTCCGGCTCAGCTTCAGCCTCCTCTGCCACAGCAGTTTGAGGCTCCCCAGGCTCCGCAGCAACGTGCTCTGAAATGGGGGCTCTGCCCCGTGCATGCTTGTGCTCTGTTTCCTCACTTGCACACCGCTGAGACAAGCAGGAACTGGGGGCATGTTCTGTTGAGGTGTCGGCACTGGCACCAGTACAACGCGGATGGATCTAGAAGATGTTGGCATGCTGTCGGTCTCACAAATGAGCAGCAGGAAAATTTACCACCGTCCATCAAAAGATGGCAGATGGAGATTCAGCAGGACATCCGGATGGCAAGCGTCTGCAAGCGCCTGCGCAAGCTTCCAGATGGCACAGTCTTTCAAGTGACTGGTGGAACTTGCAGTCCTGACGGCTGGTGGAAGACCGCGAAGACAGTTGTCAAGGACACCAACCGCACACTTCCTGCTGCAATGCGTCGGAGGATCAGACTGGCGCAGTGGCGAACGTGGGTGCGCGGGAGAGATAGGTGGGATGCGGCTGCAGAGGTAGTGCAAGAGTTGTTCATGCATTGACTGAGAAAACAATTGGGAGAGCGAGCGCAGTAGCCGTGGCCCTATCCAGATCGGCAAATGTGGTCCCACAAGCCCCAGCCAAAAAAAAATAAAAAAAAAATGGGGTCCAAATCGCAATAGCAGGGACAACATTGTCCGATCTTGGTGGTGCTGGGTGGCCAAAACAACAGAGAACCAACAACAAACAAACAAGCAACCAAGCAAAACAAAGAAACACATAAGCAAGCAAGCAAACAAACCAACAGCCGACAACCAACGCACCAACAACCAGCAAACTGACACAACAACAAACCAACAAATCAAAGCAACGCAGAGCAAGACAAAAAACAAGCGAGCAAGCAAGCAAGCAAGCAAGCAAGCAAGCAAGCAAGCAAGCAAGCCAGCGAGCGAGCGAGCACGCACGGGCGCACGCAAGCAACTAAGCAATCAAACAACAATCAAACCATTGAACTAGCAAATGCGTAGACAAACAAACAAATACACAAACAAACTGACAGACAAGCAGATAGACAGACAGACAGACAGACAGACAGACAGACAGACAGACAGACAGACAGACAGACAGACAGACAGACAAACAAACAAGACGCCACACACGCACTCGCACATATATATATATATATATATGTATATATATACAAGCAAACAAGCAAGCAAGCAAGCAAACAAGCAAACAAGCAAACAAACAAGCAAACAAACACAATATCGCACAGGAGAAACCCACACAAAACCTAGCAAACAAACACACAAACAAACGAACAAACAAACAAACAAACAACCAAACCACAAACAAGCAGAGCAACACACAACAACATAATAACACAACACAGACATAATGAAACAAACTGAGCAAGCGAACAAGCAAAAAAAACAAGCACAGCAAAGCAAATCCACGCACATCAAAGACAATAATACAACACACTCCAATACAAATACAATTCCACTTACAACACAAACGTTGCTTGTCAAGGTATGATCTTTTGATCTTCACCAAATGGGCGAATCTCCATGCGCCGTTTGCAAAGGGATTGCCCTTTGCCGGCAACATGATCGTGCTCAAGCCACAGTTTACCTCGTAGCGAAGGCATTTTTGGGTAGCTAGGGGCTGTAAAGGATAAACAAACCTTTTACTAACGGATAACTTGGCCTGGACCCCCTCCCATGGGTCCCTCATGATCAAACCTGAGCAAGTGCACCTGCTTCCACCGAGCGTGAGCCCCGAACCAAGATCAGCCGATGGGTGACACACGTGAACTGTGAGCTTTCCGAACATGAGGGCCCCCCCAAAAGGCGTGGTGATTCCCTTCAAAATCAACCCAGTAAGCCTACAAGTACCCTATAAAAACCGCGTTCATACACCTAAGCAAGGTATGTTTGTTTAGGAAACAAATAGGAGCCAAAGAGCGTTTTTTTCCAGGTGGCTGAATTGTTCCCTACAGGAACCTTCGGATCTCAAGTGACGGGCAACGCGGCACGCCATTTTGCCCCATGGGACTGGGTGCTTCACTTGCTGTTTCTCTGTCACCGTCTTCCCTTGGTCGAGCTCGTCGTAAATGCCCAGTGGCCATGGGAAAAAAGGGTACCCCTTCTTTGTTGGTTGAGTTTAACGGGGAACCCTTACCGAAAAAAAGGAAAAAAGGGCACCACTGGGCAACAGAGTCGTTCTATTTTGACGCATGCCGATGGGAAGCCGGTTCCATACCACGTGTTGACCGATCCTCAAATAACCGAAATAGAAGTAAACATTCCACTGATGAAAGAGTTGCCAGGGCCCGACCAATCACACACCCCACCACCCCTGCTCACATGCGTGGGTTTGGTTTTCAAGGAGTGTTGGGTCCAAATCAACAAGCCCGCGGTTGCGATACTGCATGGTGTTTGGTCAGTTAGTCATGCCCCAACTTTCCGTTTGGGTTGGCAATCGGAACTCTTTGGGTGGGACCCTGACATTTTGCATATATTTTGCAGTTTCTTCTCGAGCGGATTGGCCAAAGAAAAGTCCAGCACGTCTGACTCTGAGTGGCCGGGGTGTGACAACTCGTCCAGGAACGCTTTCGTGAGTTCAAGGACGTTTTGGACGTTTTGTGGTTCTCACGAACCTCTGGGTGGCCGGCTGTTCCACAGCTTTCCGGTTCACATGCTGGAAGCCCTTCCAGGTCCGAGGCGAGCAACGCCCATGAAAAAACCCTTGGCCCGAAAAACATGTCCCTCTCACGTGGAATTGTCAGTTCTTTACATTGGGTCGTTCCGGACATGACCCAAGGGTGACTTTGGGAGACATACCTGTCTCGGAAACTTGGAAATAGCTTCAAACAAGCATCTCAAATATAAGGAAACAAAACCAAATTGAAGCAACAAGGGACCAGGGACATGTTTCCGGTACGCCCAAGGTTCCCCCACTTGCAAGCCTAGTTCTGGGAAGTAAGGCTCTACGCGGCTCGAAAGAAAAGGGCATGCCAAAATCAGGCGCAACCGCAATACGGGGGATTTGAGCCACATTTTGTCTAGGTGACGAGTCTGCTGCGCCTTAAGAAACAAACTTGGCCATCTGGGTACACAGAAAAGCACTTGTCTTCTGAGTATCTGCCATATTTTGTCTTTAATCTGCAAAGTTTTGTTCAATTGATCCTTCTTCAAGCCTTCGCAAGTGCTTCAGGAAGCCGAGCCCGAGTGGTACACATCGATTGAGGGATTTTGACCTAGCTGAGCATTCATATGCTGGTTGGTCGCTCACCATGCACAACAACCCGAAAGAAAGGAGCTCCAGTTATATCCATTATGTAATACTAAGTGCTATGAGCTCATGACCACTGTGTGGCACTTCAATCAAGAGCGGCCATGCATACCTCTACAAATTCGGAACAAAGCAGTGTTGAAGGATCATCAACAGGCCCACACAAGTGACCTATGCAGCTTTGATTGAAACAGCACAGCAACACATATAAGTCAAGTCTTTTTGAGTAGAGTAACGTACCCTATTTGGTTGTTGGACTTGGTTGGGTTCGGCTGGCTCGCTTGCTCTGCAAGCAGGGTCATCTTGTTGGAGACCCACCTCATTGGAAAACCATGAGCAAGGGAAGCGAAAGCCAGCATGGGTCAGACAGAGCCTGACATTGCTGGAACGTAAACCGTTGCCCGAGATTCCAGAACAACGCCTCAAGTGAGAATTGAACAATTATTATTGATCAATGAAGTGGATTGCTGCATATGTTTGTGCTTAGCGGGTTGCAGGGCAACCCTTGAGAGCGACATGTTTGTGGAAGCCGGAAGGCCACAAGGCTTGAACCAGCCACCACTTTCGTGTAAGCAAACTCCTGCCGCAAAACAACCAACAACCAGTGCCTTCCAGGGCTGTAGTAAATAGTTGCCGAACAGTGCAGCCTTTGCGATGTCAATCGTTGTCCCCAAGCTGAAATGCACAACCCTGCTTGAATGGATTGGGTTCCTTCACGAGCATGGCATCTCGCCTGCAGTGCCCGATTGGCCTCTGAGAGCTCTTGTACCTCAGCATAAAAAGTCACAAGCATCAACTCTCTGTCACTCTCTCTCTGGCTCTGTCTCGCTCTCTCTCTCTCTCTCTCTGTCCTGAAAAAGTCACTGTGGAGATTGAATCACAACAAATCCCATCCAAATTGCACATTGTGAGTCGAGGTGATTTTTGCTGGACTTGTTTGGGGCTTCTCGTTTTCATCGGATGACTCCGCGTGCCTGAGGCAGGAGGCAATGCTTTCCCGTGGTGGATACGTTAATAGGCTGAACTCGACCATACTCCTTTTGTCCGCAACATATTTGGTGCAGCAAGGTACAAATTACAAATAGACCGCGTTGAAGGACTCAACGAAGGATGTGCACGAGCACGATCCTGACCCAGCCTGGGTCACGGAATACTCATAGATTTAGAATTCTGTGCCGCTCTTGACAAGAACGTGCTGACTGCACGTCCTGCCAAATGAAATGGGCTCGAATCTGGATTCCTGGCTTCCAAGTTCGTGTCTTGCATTGTGCGGTTTTCTGAACTGAAACAGAGGGACCTTCGGACTTTGCAGCTGGCAGTCAGCCTTGTTTTCGTGGGGCCTCTTTTCAGAAAGCCGTGATCGCCGACGCGAACCCGAGGCCGAGTTCAGCCCCGGCAAAAGTTGAAGTCGGAGCTAGGACTGGAAGTCTGCTCAATGACAGCGGCTACTGGACACGCCCATTTGCTTCACCCATCACTGTGTGGGGGGAAGCAGGGCAAAGTCTAGGAACAAAGGAGAAGTGTTGATTCTTGCTGTTTCTTTGTTTTTTTCTTGTGGGGGTACAGAAGCAACCAACTGGCTCCAAAAAGGCAAACGTTGGGACTCACTAAACTAGGGCGCGAATGGTCGTAGATGTCGTAGGTTGGTCCGAAACCCACGCTGTTGCCCCGCAAGAATAACTATGCCGTGCGGTCCCGGCACTTTTCGGCCGCAGAACTCAATATGTTGCTTGGACCAGTCTTCTGTGGGCCCCAAAGCAAAATCTACCTACTATCTACCAGTTTCAAGGTAAACACCCGTTGCTCCAAAAGGACATGCCGCCAAATGTACACTGTACATGACACAAGCAAAACAATTCTCTAGCAGCCCATTCCACTGGCTACTGAATCATGCGGAAATGCTTGTATATACGCGTGTCACGAAAGAGTTCTGCCACCATGTGTTGTGTCCCACTCAGCGTTCCTGAAAAGCAAGACCAATCTAGGCCCCTTTCAACTGTGCAAAAGCAAGCAAATACAACTACAGCAGTCCGGAAGCACTTTGTGAATTCGAATTGGTCTCAAGACTCGTCTGCTTCGCTGAATTCACTGAGCAGGCACATCGACTTCTGCGAAATGCAAAATCTGGAAGAGTACCGCCAAAAGTGACCATAGTTCGGGCCACAGGCACCAAGCCTAGGACCTGTTCACATCAAATGGCTGCTGAGTCGTTCACGGGGATTTGCCGCTAACTCAGACAGCTTTGAGGATTCTCACCTCCTCAACCTATCAGAATACTTTGCTACCAGGCAGAAGCAAACAACAAGCCCACTGCGACATGTGTCTCTCAAAATATTGATTCCACAACTAGCAATTTGGCAGAACAAAACACGGGCTCGTTCTCAGGTGTTCAACATGTCAACCCGATTTCATTTCAATTCTCACATATCCTAACAAAGCATTTTGGCGTGACGTGCTCTCCTGGCAACGCTCGAGACAGAGTAGAACATTAAAGTCGATGCAAGTCGATGGCGCTTGGTCATGGACGGCCAGATGATGCGGATTGAAATGAATGTCCGATTCAAAGCTCCTTGTCGCCGGCAGTCACAATCCATCACAGGTAAGCTGCGCCCGAAAGACATTGAGTGTTTGTACTAGTTTGTACCAAGCTGGTCACTGTGTTTGAGATTGACGACTGCGGCAAGGATGAGCAAGGATATGGGTTAGAAACACTGTGCCAGCCCAGCCAGCTAAAGGGGATCCCACAAAAACATTTCCTGAAAAAAACATGCAAGACCACAAACAAAAGAACCCGTCCATAAAATGGTTGGGTCAAACCGACCGGGATCCCCACACAGCTTGTAACCGAAGCCGGCTCGGAGCTGGCTTTCGTGCCTTCAGGCGCTGCAAGTAGAATATAAGGGCGAGACATCGTTGGTGTCGAGCAAACATATCCCAAAAGGATCCACTCAAGACACACACCCAAATGGAAGTTACTAGTTGATGGCCATTGGCCTAAATCTGGGGTACTTCAAAACACAGTTTGTTTAGACTAGCCTATAAATCTAGTCGCTTTGGAGGAGAGTACAGGGTCGATTAAAGCCAAACACATGGGTCAACCTGGGTCTGTGCCTAGGTGTGAGCTGGTCGTAAGCTTTCGGACGGTGCTTGCATAGCAACTTGCAGGCTGCCCAAACCAGGGTTGCCTGGACAACATCAGAAGCAAACTTCCTTTGGTTACTGCTGGTTTTCAGAAATACGCATATGCCCAAATATTGAGCACCCTGCGTGCTTGCTATCACCGCCAAATGGCACGCAGGTCGGCTAGACGTGCACTGTGTCTGGAAGCTTCAACGCAATCGCGAGTTTGAGGTGCCCCTACACCTGGGCACACAAAGCCAAGCGCCATGACTGAGACAGGGTGCTTCTGAAAGCGGAGCTCCTCCAAAATGTCTGGCAAAGCAACTTTTTGACAATTCAATGTCTGGCAAAGCAAATGCCGTGCATGGCACGCTCCAAGAAGCCCGACTTTAGCTCTTCCGTGAATGATCAACATAAACAATACGACAATACCCTTCTAGAGAAGAAGGCATGCGTCGGGATGAAATGCTTCACCCTGCCAGACTGCCAGAATCTTGCCGTCCCGAAGAACAAGCAGAAAACTGTTGAGTGCAAGAAAGGACACCTTTAAACTTATCACTGAGGCTGCTATCTAATAAACATAAGCCCTTTCAAGATGCACTCAACCAACACTCTAATCCTTGCAAGGATGCTCCACGCAGGATGGTTCATAAGCGAAATACCACCGACATTGGGTATTCCGCCGTGATGTGCAGCTGGTCCAGCGTGTCATGCAGATACCTCAGTCGAAGCGAGCGCGAGAAGACAGATTTGAGCGCCAACAAACGTGTTGGCTCTATATACCAACATGAAGGTTCAGGCGTTGCTATCCACCTGGGAGCAATGCAGCGGCAATCGAGGTTTTGACATGTGCATCTCAAACACGGGGGGACCCCGAAAAGGTCGGGTTTCCTTTTGGTTTCAATTACAAACAGGCCGAAGAAGGGTGTCAACAAAGAAACATATACTATACCTAGTGACTTAGAGGGTCCACACTTCCTGGCATCTGTATACCTGGAAGATCTGCAAAGAATCAGGGCTTTGCACGCCTTGGGACTGTCCCCTCATCTTGCCTGGTGCTGTTCCAGTTGCGAGCTTTCAAAGGTGCTCAATGCTCCTGAGAATTCCACAAGTGAGAAAGTTTCAACCTATGCCGGGTCACCACGTTCGAGCCCTTTTCTTGAGGAGATCGGTAGACATAGTTTGGGAACGGGGGGAGTTCCTGTTTGGTTGGCATTTGACAGGAAGTTTGCAGCAAAGCAGCCGGGATTCCACAATGTGCTCCGCGTCGACGTAGTTGTCTTCGAAAGCTGCCTCAGGGGACACACACATAGTAGACATAGAACAATTGTTGACGGTCGGATTGGGGGGGGGGGAAGGTTCCGTGACCATGGGTGGGGTAAGCGGGGGGCGGGGGGCGTTCCATTCCTGTGGATTTACATCACTGCAGGGTATGGTCAACATAGGGGGCTTGGTTTCCCTGTGAAACCTTACAGAAAGAGGCACCCTCAAAAATACACAAACTCATACAGTCACCCCCTGCTACCCTAGCTCTTCCCTTGTCATTCAAACACAACCCCAGGTTGTTGCATATCCTTCCTGGCTCGATGCGTGCTTTGTTGATTTTTACTTTGCAACAACCTTGTTGTGTCCATGCTTCTATGACAGACCTCAAACAACATACCAACAAAGATGCGGACAAGACAAGTTGTTCTGAGTTGCTTTCTTTGTGTGGCTTTCTCGAGATTGTTTGATGCTTCTTGTCCTCGAGTGGCTGTTGGTGTGCCTGGAGAAATGCACAAGGCACCAGACAGAATTTGCACATAATACGAAAGTGTCTTGTTGTGATGGTCCGTCGTTCTGTTTCCAGATGCCGGCGAAGCTGCCGGGTCAGTCTTAATTTTCACTACAGCAGTCTCTTGGCCTGCTGCAAGCTACGGGAAAAAGGATTGACGATACAACGTGCCCAACACATGCGGAGCCAACGCGGATGACAACACAGGCCCTACGCAAACCTGCCTAGATTCTCTCGAACTGCCTGCACGGACTGTCCTATGCAATCCTTCTCCCATCAGACTTGTCTATGTGGGGTCGTCGCAGCATGCAAAGAGTTGCGCCCAAGAAGTTACGTGGCAAAACAACTCCTCTCAGCTAGGTCCTAACTTGCTAGCTAGATGTCTCTCCTAACTAGCTATCATGCTAACAAGCACAATTAGTCTTGAACTGGCTAACTGCCACACCAGCTCAATTCACTAGCTAAAGATCCAACCAACAGGCAAGCAGAATTGGCTAATCTGGTCTCACAGCCCCGAGGTTCGAGACCAAAGAATGGCAGCGGGAATCGCACTCCTTTCTCCTCTCACATAGATGTTTGGCGATCCTATGTGACATGTTGCATGGGTGAGCTCTCAACTTGACAAACACCACACCTTTGGGTCCCAAACGCAACAAAACAAGGATCGTCAGAACATGCCCGTAATATTGGGGCGCGAATCGGGTTTCTCAGCACTAGGCATGTGGAAACCAACTCATTAACATAAGCTCGCTATCCAACTCGCTTGCGAGCTTCAGCAAACCAGCTAACAAGCTAATTCTCGAGCTAGCCAACTACCCAACGAGCTAAGTAGCTGGCGAATTAGTTAACTAGCAACGTGACTTCACGCACGCATG